GTCCAGTAGTGCTTATCAAAGATCTGAAACCATTCCCTTGCCAAAAAGAAACCAGGCGTTTCAGACAAAGTGGCGCAGCTGCAGCGGGTTTGAAAATAAATAGTGGGGAAGTTAATGGCAAGACAAACACCTCAGGCTGGCAGCTAGAGGGCTCTGGGTCTGCTCAGCGTGACAACATCTCTGAACTCTCATTTTCACCCTTGTGACCTTCACACCTTCCCCTCGCTCCTACCACCCCCGATTCCGTCCATCCACACACAGTAAGACTGAATCGTCTGACCCGACCCCTTGAACTCTGCTCCTTCTGACCATCACCATGTCATCGCTCCACCTAGGGGGTACCAGGCGGTGACTGCCCCCAGTCCGCGCTGTAGCCTGTTAAAGATTTGTTAAAAACACAACTGTGGCAAGGCTCATGAAAAGAAAATGAGATGATGAGGCATAAAAGAGAAGAGAAATTATCAAAAACTTTAAAGAAATGTTTCTGCTGAGAGGTGCACTGTTGGTGGTCTCCTGTCGAGCAAAATCAAACAGAACTGTTTCTGTCAGAAAGGCTCCAATTTAAGAGAGGGGGGAGGGGAGCTGGAAGGCAGCAAAAAGGGGGTATGCTTTGGCTTATACATTTTACACAGAGGGTGAAAATGAGCCTGGTTGGGTTTGATCTTATTTTGATGGGGCAAGGATTGTTGGAAGGTAATGCCCGTTGCAAAAAATACCTTCTAAAAACCACTGAATGTAATCTGAGGACAAACCACAAAGCAGAAAAGAAAGGGCACAAATAAAAGTGAACAGAGGAGGCCATCCATAATCAGCCCCCACCAGTAAATGTATATCATCTCTCCTTGAGTTGTCAAGACTTAGTGCTCCTTAATACTCAGATATGAAAACACACTGAAACACAAATATTGAACATATAACTCCTGCCTTCAAGCTTTCAAGTTTGAACAATTTGCTAAAATGAATAAAATATATTTTATCTCTGAATGAAATCAGTTAAAAGTTTGTTCAGTCCGATCCCTTCTCTCACTATCAATCTTTCATCCTGACCCGCATGGTGGCTGGTTTCCTTAAACGTTGCTGAAAGACAAATGGAAACAAAAGAAAGGGGCATAAGGAGGAAAAGGGGGTGGCTGTACGGTGCCTGGACCTGTAGGGCATGTGAAGCGTAAACTCAGTTCCACACAAACACTGTAAACCTTTACAATACAACTCTATCAAAAGGGCTATAAACTTTATGCAGGGATAAAAAGGGGAAAGGAAGAAAAAAGATTGCACCCAAACTCAAAATAAAAGCATTTGTGTACTACACAGTATGCAGGGGTGGGGGCCTCTAGATGCCTCAAACTCACTGTCACTCTCAATCTGCCCAGATATACAACAATGACACGCAAAATGTGAGGTCACACACGTATGCATAACACACTGTCTGAATGGGGCCCTGAGTGAAAATAACATGCATGCAGGGTCCTGATAGCTGTGGCTGGGAGCCTTTTAGCAAGTCAAAACCTGCCACAGCTTACCTGGAGAGGAGATGTAAAGGAAGGGATTCACTACATTATTATACACTGCAGGTTTTGGATGGCTCTGCACATATTCATTTTTCATTTTTGGTCCTAAACAATTCAGGGTTGATGTGAAATTAAGTCAGGGAGAAAATGTTTACATGCTTTAACTTTCAAAAAAGCTAGGCTGGCTGGTTAGCTGGCTGGCTCTGTTGTGATTGGTCAATCCCTAAGCCTATCAGAATGTGTTGGGGCGAGAGTGTTACGAAATGATGTCATTTTATTGGGAAAGTAAACAAAGGACTATGATTGAGTCATTTCAGGCAGGGGGGAGTGTGTGGGAGATAAACCCCCTCTTTGTACACCATGTACATACAAACTTATACAAAACGATACAGGAAAGGGAAAACCCCCCAAAAAGCATAATAGGCCCCCTTTAAGTATTGATCACTATTCCAAAGCATCTCTGTGTGCAGGTCCAGTGTTCATGCCGGGAAGTAATTTTTCATGTTTAATTGATGTCATGAGAACTAAGCTCATGCAGCAGGTGACAGAAAAGCCTGCAGGCACACACTGATTAAGGTAAACATTAGCAAAGCAGCAAGTGACTGAAACCAACATCAAATTCTTTCATATCCCGACACTCTCTTCCCCACAGTGGCTCACACCTGGATGGATTTATTTCAGGTCCACTGAATTCAAAAGCCATGCGGTAAACTGCTGGCTGTTGCTAGAGAAGTGGCCGGCTCTCTGACAGTGTGTGTTGTTTGTGGGCGAGGAGGAGTTGGTTTGAAAGGGAATGGAGGTGCAGCTGCCGCAAAACGGGCTCTTTAAAAAGTCAGTGAAGTACCGCCGGGGAAATAATCCTTTTCATCTTGCCTCCTTTTCTCGTTTGGCACACATTTTGTCACTCCTTTTTTTCACTCTCCATCTGTCCTCTTCCTCCTCCTTTCTCTTATTTTGCTCACTCCTTCTTTCTTCCCCTCTGTGGAAAATGTAATGGTTTCCTGGGCTCAGAACGAGACATTCTTTCACTGTGAACAATAATAACAAGAGTAAGAGCCACTTCATGAAGCTCTCACTCCCTCCACTACTGGGTACCGCTCAGTATTCTGGCTGTGTATGTGCATGTATGCCACACTTGAGAAGTGCTTGATCTGTTAAAAAAACCAGGTACTCTTACGTCGGTAAAGCCAAGTGGTCGACCGCATCGTTTGTTATCATCAAAGTCTGCTTATTCAGTACCGACATGGAGAAGTACACACACACACACACACACACACACACACACACACACACACACACACACACACACACACACACACACACACACACACACACACACACACACACACACACACACACACACACACACACACAAAATCACTACAACGCAGCATGGAGCTTTTACTTCTTGTTCTGTCCACAACGAAAAGTGGAAATGTATCAAATGAAAGCTAATGAAACAAGAGTACATTTTCTTTGCGAGCTGCTGAAGCTGGATGGCAGAGTTATTGGAGGACAGCGGGAATCAAATATTGTGAGAAAAAAAAGGGTAAGGGACCTCTTCATGGTTTCACAAAGAAAGAAGCTAATGCAGATCATGCCAAGAGCTGAACCTCAGGTACTATAAGAAGGTTAATAAATAGTGCATCATCTAGACACATGGGCTTACTTTAAAAGGCATGCAGTGACAGTTTATTACACGTTCAGGGTTTCTTCCCATTTGACCACAATTCTTACAAACGAGCTACATATACGCTGCCTGACATTTCAGACTAAAATCAACAAGCCGGAGAATTCAGCTCAGGGTGATTTTACAAAACCTGTAGTCAGTTTAAATCAAACATGTTTGTCTGGGAAGATTGGAACATAGTAATTGTCTTCTGGTACGTCAAAATCAATTGTGAGACACTGCTTGTGAAAAGTGGTGTTGGACCGTTTCCAAGCAAACCCTGTGCAGTTCGTTTGCAGTATGAATATAATCCAACCCATACTGACAGAATTTCAGGAAGTTGACCGAAAACACAGGATTTTTGTTTACCTTCGAAGGCATTTGTCGACAACAGGTTAATAGGTAAACATGAGTTGGAGAGGACTTACTCGGAGTTGAGAAAAATATGCCCAATAAAGTCCAGAAAATAAAGTGCATTGTCAAAGTGAAAAAAAACTACACCGGCAATATTTTTTAAATCCGCAATTTCCTTGCATTTATAAAGAGGCAGATCTCGAGACAAAAGCTCCTTTGTACACACCCCAAGCAAACAGATAGATTGAGATGGTCTGATTTAATTTAAGCACTTTGAAACTTAACCAGACTAAATTGATAAAAACTAACAAAATGATTTTCACTTGCACTACCCAAATGGATTAGGATTTGCGAGAGCCCCCTAAGCAAAAAAGCCTCAGTTTCTTTATAATGTGACGAGACATTAGAAGCAATGTGGAAAAGAAAGGAGAGTGGCAGAAGGGCCAAGACCTTTGGTCTCATTTAGCCTCCAACAGCTTCACCTTCTGCTCTCTGCAGCTCAACATCAGAGGGCCAGGAGCCAGGGGCAGGATGTCACGTCTCACCCCGGACCCACCAGCCAAACCAGCAAGGCTCTGTGGGACGCTCCGTCCCAGCTTTGAGAACAAAGGAGAGGGTCTGACACTGGCCATACGCCCCCTGTTCCTGGATGGACTCCAAGTCTTCGAGGACTCTTTAAGGCTGCTCTCTACAGGACCATGTCAAGTCACTGGCACTAAGAAGTTTAAACCCCTCACACATGGAGCTGTTCCCCTGGGCATGAAGAGATGTGTGACCTGGCAGAAAATACTTTCCTCCCAACTCAAAAACACTTTTAAAAAGGAAACTCTTAGGCCCCGGCCACACGAGGACGAAAACGGTCGTTTTCGTTACTATTTAGTGTCATATAGACCGTTCGGCCACACGAGGACGACCGAATATGACAGTAAACAACTGCGGAAACGATAACGGGTCCCAAGGTGGATAGAACGGCATACGCAACGCTCTGGGGGGTCCAACGGCTCCGTGTGTACGCCCTATACCAGTGG